TCTTTATATCTTCCTATGATTTTAAGCTGATATTTCATTGATTATATTATTTATATTTATATCATCTATATGATATTTGAATATTTGTTTTTAGATGTTTCACCTAGCTATCTTCCAAATATTGGCCCTTTATATTAAAAAATTTTGACCAGTATTGAGTAGTCACATACCTCTCCGTTGTTTATTATTTGTTGTATATTATATGGAGTTCTAGGCATTATGCTTAATTGACTTGTATTATTTAATTTATCCTTGCATACTAAACATAAACTACAAGATCATTTTGATAAAGATGGATAGTAAACGTTTGCAATCTTATTAGCCTTCAACATATCAGCAATAATTATTAAAATTCATGAAACAAAAGTAATTATGTTACCATGAATAACAAAATTTAACTCAGATTCATTAATAATAGGAGTAAGAAGAATTTCCAGATATTTATGAAAAACTTCTCTTTGCAACTTTCGAAAACTATCAGAATTTTTAGTAGCAGAATCTTTAGCCTTTAATATTGGTAGATATCCTATTAATGCTTTAGATTCTGGCTTATTACTATGAGAATTAGGTATATTACCAAGTGAAAGAAAAATTGGGTGCCCAGAAGATTTTCCCATATGATCTAAGGTAGTTGTATCAGAATAAAGGATAAATGCTAATAATCGTTGCCCAACAAGTAAATTGGATTCCTCATATTTCCACTAATGACAGTTATATTGTTCTTCAAAGACCTGATATCTAGAATTATTATTGTTTCATATTTTTCTGTATAACAAAATACTAATGATTGATTTACACTATTAATCGATATTAATGATTTAATTGCTTTAATTAATGACCAATAATAAAACATATAATTAACATTTTGAAATATTTTGATTGAAATTTCTTTAAACATTGCATAAGAGGCGGTAGAATTATCAAAAAATTTCTTTCCAATCTTTGTTGATGAGGTAATGGTGAAACATCTATATTAGAAAACTTGTTGAAAAAATTTATTACAATATCCCTAGCTAAATTTGATAGTTGATACTTATTGATTATACCCATAAACTCTCAATATGCATCACTAGGCCATTCAATAGTTTGGATATGTTCTAAGTCATGAAATGCATTATCAAATGAAGCACCTTCAAAATCTTCAGGATTAACATTAGTGATGTTTCTTGAGATAGCTCATAATCCATAAATTAACTATTGTTTGCTATTGATTCTGTTTTAATAATATCAGGATTATCTAAATCTAATTTAGACTGAAATGGTGTACTTTCATTCTAAAAATAAACAAATCTTTAGCATTCGTTAATAATCATTATATGGTAATGCCTATAGCAAAAAGCGGGGATGGGACTATATAATATATAGTTCTATTCTCACTTTTACTATGGGCATTACTTTATCTATAATAAACTTATAAATTACTTTATAATCTGTAGAATATTCATCACTTGAACTATAATTATTATAATCCAGAAGTTGCCAGATAGAATTATTAAATTGCTCAATAAAAGCAATTTGATTTGCATCATCTTGAATGTAAGGGTGCCTTTGTGAAATATGTTGTATTAAAGCATTTTTGAAAACACTCACTTGCAATACTCACACAACCAACACATTTGAAAAGAGAAAAAAAAAGATATAAATAAAAAAACTAATAAAAAAAAATAAAATAAGAGAGATTGAATAATGAAAGAAATTAGTTTAAAGCAATTAGAAGTTATATGAATAACTAAATTGTTAAAGTGATATATATCGATTAGTACAAAAATAATAGGTTTTTAGATGTAAAAAAAATAAACTGGAGTTTAGTAAAAACGAATATGAGTTATGTGAATCTAAAGTGATATATATCAATTAAAACAAATATATATATATCTAATGAATTAAATTTGTTTTTCGATTAAGCAATTATCGAATAATATTTTGATGATATAACATACTAAACAAAATAAACTTTATATTTTAATTAATTTAATTACAAAAATTGTCATTGATATATTATATAATTTATTTAAACTAGTAAATTATTTTTATTATATTGAAATCTCGAACTTTTAATATGATTGATACATATCAATAAATTAACTTCTATAAATTGCAAGTAATATTATTAGCAATCATAGCACAACTTGTTATTTTTGTTCAAAATATTAAAGTTATGAACATTCTACAGAAATAGAATATCATCAAGAGTTCCTTTTGTTATGATTATTAATTACAAACAAACCAAAGTGATTAATAAGTATACTAGTAATCAATATCTAATATAATATAGAAGCAATAATGATAAAACAATAGTATAGATACAGAATATATAAAGTTTATATTTAATATTAGAGACAGATTGGTCTAGTCTTTTTAACTGATCTTATAGTTAACTGGTTTCCGTCCTGATACCAGTTTAGATCAGTCTTCATAAATACCTTATTAAAAATAATAGTGCATATACAAATATTTATAGTTCGATATATATTGATATTTTAGCAAGCATAATTTTGTATAAAGCTAGTAGTATTGTATAACTTATTTGAACTATATACTATAAATAGAGATAGACAGTCTGACCAGTCCGATCTCTTCCTAAAAGCAGTTCCAACCTCAACTATTAGCGAAGAGAATAAAATCACAATATTAGTAATTAATTTTCTAAAATAATTTTTTAAATCTCAGATACTTTATATTTAATGATACACGTAAATTTTTATATAAATAAGTATTCTTACATTATTATACTTTAAATTTAATTACACGAATAAATTTTATATAAATAAGTATTTTTGCGTTATTATATCTTCTTTTATCATAAGTAGTTGACATCGTTAGATATTAATTTGTTTTCTTCTTGTGCAATAGTTTTATTAAATATGAATACACAGGCTTAACACAAAAGGTACGATAAAAAAATTTTGATAAACAAATTTTGACAATAAAAAACACAACCAGAAATAATATATCACCATATTCCGCAAAACCTGTTTCTCATTCCCAATCCAATATTTCTTGATTTTTAAACCCTGATAATAATGATATTGCTAAACCTCATCAACCACCCAATTCTAATGATAATAGTTCTTCTTCTGATTCAACCTCTAGAAGCATTAGAAGTATTCAACAAATGTTTTATAGTATGAGCGGTCGACATTAATCATGCCAACCATCTTCCACCCGCTCCCGTCATGGATCTGTATCTAGATCTTATTGTGGATCTGTATTTCACTATTTCTCTACTTCTCAAACTGAATCTACATCTCACTATGAATCTAGATCTCACCGTGAATCTAGATTTTGCCTATATTTCGCCATAGCGATCATTATCCCACCTCAATGACATTCTACAAGACAATGATCACAAGATAGATCACTATCATGTGATAGTGATAGAAGATCAGAAAATCAAAATTGTATATATAATCGACATGGTACATATATAAGGCTTTTTTTTTTTTTTGACAATTTTCAGATTTTTTTTTTTTACAGTTTTTTTTTTTTTTTAATATATATAATTAAGCAAACAATCATCACAATTACTATCAACAAGTTGATGAGTGAATGTTCGCTCAACTTAAGCAATTATACTTGATGCTTAAGAAGCTTAAGGAAAGTTTGAATGAAATAAAGACCAGGCTAGAGCAATTGGAAAGGCAACATGATAAACGAGATAATGATCTCTCTATACAAGTGATAGACGTAAGTGTTTTAATATCTTTGCAACAAATCTGCTATTGTAAATTTAGGTTCTAGCGGTATATAACGTATTGAGTTGTGCTGAAAGGTAAAAAAATATATATATATTATAGTACGTGTTTACCTGCGTGTTTAAGTGGCTCTTCCTGAGCTATATATATTCCTGCCAAGCTGATTTGAAAGATGCTCTTCAACAATGTCTTGAAGAGAAATTCTCTGATTTTATGCTTAATTTAAGCTTTAACCAATATACTAATAGGTTTCATGGAGAATAGTTAAGCTCTGTATGTATCGATAGCTATCATTTTTTTTATATTTTTTTTTAATATTTATGCTTCTTTCACTTTTGATTTTTTATTATTTTTGGCAATAGCTGATACAAAAAATGAAGAACCTTCGAGGTGTGTTGATTCAAAACATAAGAGCAGCAGTATAGCGCATATTCGGATGCGAACGATTACCTCTATTAAAGAGAAACGCTGCATCAGCTGATATTATAAGTTGGAAACAAAGTGAAGAAGTTTGTGATTGTTTTTGTGTGCTGTTTGAAATAAACCATAACGATATTTTTTGGGTATCTATAATCGCAAGGTTGGCCTTCTCTGAGGTTGCTGTATCTGAACTCTCCGATAAGCACTGCATCTTTACGCTCGCGGTCTGTGATCTTTTACTAAATCTCTGATCCAAAAGTGTCATATGTACGGAAAAACACCTTATGTATTGTATCGAGAAATATCTTGTAAGTATTATTATTATTAATTAGTATTACTATTAATTATTATTAATTATTATTTTTTATCATTGTTAATATAG